GACCTCCCTCGGTGGGGCCGTGTCCCGGGAGGACGCCTCCGAGGCCTACCCGCGGTCAGCCGCGTCCTCCTTCCCGGGACCGTGCACCCCCGGGACCATGCCGTGAGTTTACCTGGTGGGCTCGAGCGCCTCTTACATCAAGAAACTTTGTTCTCAGGGCGGTGGCCTTTGGGTCCACGTCCGTGGAGCCACTACCTGCTTTGAGGTCGCTGGAAGCGAGAGATGGAGTTCTTTCGCCGAGGAGCTGCGCCCTCGTTTCTGGTCCAGCGGCTGGAGCTAGGCTAGGGTTAGGTCGAGAGGGCAGCTCGTGGAGGCACCTGGTTCTCATTGCTTCCTCCCAGCAGTGGGTTGATGCCAGCGTCTCAGTCCTGGAAACCCCGCGGCTAGAGAGCAGTAGCCGTGTCGCTCATGGTCACTCGGTGACAATGAGAAGGACCCAGCCCAGAGACTGGACCCGAGGAGGTGCTAGGAGGCCGCCTAGCATCGCGTGGGTCTGTCCTGGGGCCCAGACGGACGCGCCGCCCCGCAGGTGTGTCGCAGTCCAGGGAGCCCGGACAGTGGCAGGTACTCAGGACTGCTCCTTGTGTGTGATGGTTAAGTGCCTTTAGAACTCCCCTTGGAGCTTGTGTTTCTATAAAAAGCCTATGGTGCGGGTTCAGAATCATTCATGGCAGCTAGAAGGTCCCAGAGGATTTTTTAATCTCTGTTTCTGGTGTCCCCATCAGAACTGCAGCAAGAAATTAAAATCCCCAAACTCAGGGCTGGTTTATCTAATAGGAAGAGGAGAGGCAATGCTGGGGGCCCACAGTGCTTTTAGGAGTCCGTGAAAATGTTTAATTTCTTCTCAAGTCTGCAGGAAATCGAACTTTTAGATAGAAGAGAATGTAACGTATACAGTACAGGCATTCATTTTTTATAGCAGTGCAGTTGAAAAGTATGATTTCCTTTAACTGTAAAATTGTGTGTGTGTTTTAATTTTTAACCCTCACCCGAGGATATGTTTTTATTGACTTGAGAGAGAGAGAAACTTTGATCGGTTGCCTCCCATCCTCACCCCTACTGGGGATTGAACCTGCAATCTAGGTATGTGCTGTGACCAGGAATCAAACCTGCAACCTTTTGGTGTATGGGAGGACGTTCCAACCAACTGAGCCACCCAGCTGGGGCAAAAAGTATGATTTTTAACTTTTTGTTGTTGTTAATCCTCACCCGAGGCTATTTTTCCCATTAATTTGAGAGAGAAAAACAGAAACATCAATGTGAGAAAGACACATCGATTGGTTGCCTCCCGCACACACGCCAACTGGGGCCAGGTAGCCAGGAGCAGGAAGCGGGGGTCGGTGAAGGTGGAAGTGCTCAGGGCTGTCTTCTGTGAGCACTGTCAGGCCTCAGTGGGTAAAGGCAGGCTGGGAAGCACAGTGGTATGCGGCTGATCCTCCACCCTGCCCTAGCCAGGCTCCCACCCTAGACACTGAACCTCTTGACTATCTAGTGGCCAAGACCCTAGGCCCACGCTCAGCCTGGAGTCTCTCTAGTGATACTTCTCTGGGCTCCCTGAGTAGAGCTGGTTGCTCACTGCTTTTGCTGTTCTATGGGCAGCAGGATGACTGGTTCTGGCATAGCCTTGGTAGGAAAGGAAGCCAGGAAAGGGGCCACCTATCTAGGAGGGTACTGTATGGGCTCTTGGGGAGCAGAGCCAATGGATTGTGTGTTATGATTAGGTGCTTTAGAAAGCAAGTGTAGCCCTAGCTGGTTTGGCTCAGTGGATAGAGTATCGGCCTGTGGACTGAAAGGTTCCAGGTTCGATTCCGGTCAAGGGCACATTCCCTGGTTGTGGGCTCGATCCCTAGTAGGGGGTGTGCAGGAGGCAGCCAATCAATGATTCTTATCATTGATGTTTCTTTCTTTCTCACTCTCTCTTTCTCTCTGAAACCAGTAAAAATATATATTAAAACAACAACAAAAACACAAGTCTACACCTGTAGAAAGATGAGACATCATCCTGTTCTGGCTTGTGGGTCCCAGTTTTGCACATTAGGTCACTGGACTAAGAAGCCATGTGTACCATGCATGCTATCTTCCTTGGGGTGCCTCTGGTTCCACGTCCAGCATCTTCTACCTGGATGATAGAGGTGACCAATGTCCCCAACTCCTTTTCTGTCTGTTCTCATATCCTGCCAACTGGCCAGCAGTAATTCAACAAGTGTCTGAGTGCTTGATACCTGCCCATCTCCTAGGGATGCTCAAATGGAGAGAATAAACGCCTTCCTCTGGGAGTGCCCTTTAGGTGTGGAAAGAGTCAAGGTGTAAATCGGTCCACTAAGTGTGTTGGCCTAGGCCGGTGTCAGAGATGGCCAACCTTTTGTACTTGTGAAGCAGGGGCGGGCTTTACAGAAGACACCACATTTTGGTCTGAGTTGGGGCAGGGAGGCACCTGTGGCAGAGGGAGCAGTTACCTTTTTCACTCCATGACACTCCATATTAGAACTTTGCAGCGGCCCCAGTGGTATCTTGACTTGCCTTACAGTTGGGGGACTCCAACTGGCTCCCTGACGTTGTTTGGGCAGCAAAGGCAAGTCTCATTCTGGGTCAGATGTTCTTGTGTGCTGTGTCTCCTTCCCAGCAGAGGTTTGCTGGCTGGTATTTTCGAGGGGGTGCTTCTTTGGTCGTAGCCTGCATTCCTTCTATTGGAATCCTGACTTAGATCCATACTCAGGTGTGAGGAGGGCACTTGTCAGAACCTGTTTCCCAGATGGGAGGGAGGCAGGCAAGTAGGCAGGAGGGTGTCTTCTGATTTCTACCAGGTGGAACCCTTGAGGACGGGGACCAAGCCATTTTTGGCTCCTCTCTGATGCAGGCCAGGGCATGAGGCCTTTCACAGAGTGGGGCAATGGGCAACACAAGAGTGCTGAACTTGATCTTTCGCCAAAGTTTATTTTAAATGCATGTCTGATGTGGCTTGATCGAGGATGTGTTACATGCCAGGAGCTTTTGTAGTAAGAACATGTGTTAAGTTAACTCTCAGGTGGTCCCTGTGAGGTAGACACTGTTATTAGCTGCATTTACAGATAGGGAAATTGGAATACAGAGAGCTCATCAAGCTAAGTGGCTGAGATGAGATTCAGTCCTAGAAGTCTGGCCTAGTTCCATTGTGCACCTTTCCCAGGGGCTTATGTATGTCCTATCTTTAACCCCTGCTGTGGAGACCTAGGCCGCTTTTCTTCTGATGGATCCAGTGGCTCACCAGGATTCTGAAGCCTTTTCCATCTGAATACCCTGGTTTGAGGGATAGAACCAGCCCTCCCCCCAAATTCCTTCTGTGGTTAACCATAATGACCAATGAAGATGTGCATTGTCTCCCCGAGATGTTAGAAAGGTTGGGGATCTCTGCTGAGGGGTGACAAACATACAGGGGCATTTAGGGCCATTGACTGAAGTATCATTTCCCTGACCCTTTATCTATACAGGGAATGCAACATCAATTGCTGATTTCTAATACTGTTTTTTTCTAAGCATTAATTATGAAAGAAAATCATGCCATGGGTTTAACCATAGCTCCGTCCAGGTGACTCCACCATACTTAGCTGAGAAAACATTTAACCTTTCCTGAGTGAGCATGGTCTTGGCTGAGTTCCCGGCCTATAGGTGATGTAGCAGGACTGGAGCTGTGTTCCTTGGGATGAAGAAAGCTGGCTGGGAGAGGCAAGTGACTTGTATATAGTCACATAGCTGGAGGGCAGCGTAGCTGGGATTCAGACCACTAGGACCTGGCTCCTAGGTCAGGGTTCTTTCCCCATGGCCATGAGGGACCTGCTGGGTATGCTGAACTGATAAAGCCTCAGTGAGCCAAGAAGTGGCCACAGCACTGGAGCAGCATATAGGAAGCGTGTGGATGTTTTATAAGCAGAACTGGCTGAAGCTTATAGAAGTAGCAGGGAAGTTGAGCCTGCACTTAGGCTGGCCAGGTGCCTTCTGAGTTTGGAGTTCTTTCCTCCACAGCCTACCACTGTGATGGCGAACCTATGACACGCGTGTCAGAGGTGACACACGAACTCATTTTTTTGGTTGATTTTTCTTGGTTAAATGGCATTTAAATACATAAAATAAATATCAAAAATATAAGTCTTTGTTTTACTATGGTTGCAGATATCAAAAAATTTCTATATGTGACACGGCACCAGAGTTAAGTTAGTGTTTTTCGAAATGCTGACACGCCGAGCTCAAAAGGTTTGCCATCACTGGCCTCCCACCTTGTAACACTATAGAACTTGCCCTACTAACACACTGGGCTTTGGATTTTATAATTTCATTCTTTTTAGATAATACTTTTCCAACCTCACTAGCTAATGAATTGTTTTGCTGTTGCTTTTAAAGTAAACATTTGGTAGGAAATGTTTATATAAACTAGGAGTTCTCAGTTGGTGGTTGGCATGTGGGGGGCAGCCGATCGGTGATTCTCTCTCATCATTGATGTTTCTGTCTCTCTTTTACCCTCTCCCTTCCTCTCTGAAATCAATAAAAATACATAAAGAAATATATTCCTAAAAAAAAATTTCAAACTTAAGAAAAATTGCAAGAATACAGTTAGTGCAAGAACACTTGCATATCCTGTACTAGATGTACCTTTTGTTAGCATTTTATTTTATTTGCTGTATCTTCCCTGTGTTTTTATACTCATGCATAGAAATGTATGCATGGACATAATTATTTTTTTATATATATATTTTATTGATTTTTACAGAGAGGAAGGGAGAGAGATAGAAAGTTAGAAACATCGATGAGAGAGAAACATCGATCAGCTGCCTCCTGCACATCCCCTTCTGGGAATGTGTCCGCAACCCAGGTACATGCCCTTGACCGGAATCGAACCTGGGACCTTTCAGTCCGCAGGCCGATGCTCTATCCACTGAGCCGAACAGGTTAGGGCGAGGAAATTATTTTTAACAATTTTTTTTTCTGAACCATTTGACAGTAAGTTGCGTATGGCATGGCCCTTTCCCCTGAACACTTTGATCACTTCAGAGAGCAGGAGGAGGCGCCTGGTACTTAGCTTCCCTGAAAGATGAAAGGTGATGCTTCCCATCCCATTGCTTGCATTCACTCTGTAACAAGCCCTCACTGCCACCTGCTGTGTGCCAGGCACTGTGTCGCCACAGATGGTGTTGCGGGCACAGGATGTGCTGTGGTTAAAGCTCCGGTTTGCCCAGGTGGCAGCTAGCAAGGTTAATATTTCAGTTAGTGGTTCTAGTCTTAGGAATGAATAATGTGCTTTTGTTGCACACTTTGGCCTATGGGTATGTACATTCTCGCTCTTGTTAGGCTGTTTTTTTCCCCATTCCTCTTCCTGTCCAGATTGCTCTTACCTGCAGCCCTCTGGTCCTGCTTCCCAGACCTAGCTCCTTGGCACTGTCTTCCCCCTGTCCTCCTCTGGCAGTTCCACAGCACTTAACGCATACATCATGGGAGGTGGCCTAGTTGTGGGCCCTCCCTGTACCCATGATATCTTACCTTTGTTCCTCTTCCTCTCCTTGGCATAGGGAAAAGCATAGTCGATTCTTGGCACT